CGGGCTCTGCCCTGAGTTTGGTCTGGCAGGCTGAGTTTGTGGGGGGGCTGACCCGGGCTCTGCCCCCAGAGATGGTGACCTGCCTGCGGGGCCACACGGGGCTGGTGAAGGGGCTGACCTGGGACCCGGTGGGGAAGTACATCGCCTCCCAGGCCGACGACCACAGCCTGAAGGTGTGGAGGACGGTGGACTGGCAGATGGAGGCCAACATCACCAAGCCCTTCAGCGAGGTACCGCCGTCCACCGGGCGCCGATCTGAGTCTCCCACTTATTACCCCTCATTTTCAGTTTTTACCACAAACTTTCCATAAATTATGGTTTTTAAATTACTAATTTGCATAAAATCTGTTTTTTTTTTTACCACAAACTTGCCATAAATTATGTTTTTAGCCCCAAACTTTGTGCAAATTCTGGATTTTTCTACCACAAAATTTCCATAAATTCTGTTTTTTAACCATCAATTTTCATAAAAAAAAAAAATTTTTAACAATGAAATTTCAGCTTTTTTTTAACCACAAAAGTTTTATAAATTCTGTTTTCACCACAAACTTTCCATAATTTTTTTTTTTTTGACCACTTTTTTTATAAATTCTGTTTATTCCACTCCCTTTCCATAAATTCATTTTTTAAATGATGAATTTGCATAAAATCCTTTTTTTTTACCACAAAAATATCCATAAATTCTGTTTTTTAACCACAAACTTCATAATTTCAGTTTTTATTACCACTTATTTTTCCTCAGACATTTTTATAAATTCTGTTTTTTAACTACAAATTTGTATGAATTATTCTTCTAACCCCCAACTTTCCATAAATTCTGTCCCCCCCCCCCCAGTGCGGGGGCACCACCCACGTCCTGCGCCTGTCCTGGTCCCCTGACGGCCAGTACCTGGTGTCGGCCCACGCCATGAACAACTCGGGCCCCACCGCCCAGATCGTGGAGAGGGACGGCTGGAAGACCAACATGGACTTTGTGGGCCACCGTAAGGCCGTCACCGTGGTGGTAAGAGGCCCCAGAGAGGTTCCAGGGAGGCCCCGGAGAGAGACAGAATAGATACAATTTCAATATATAAAAATTTGATACATGCATTTTCAGAACAGAGAGTCGCTCACTGCCAGAGTTTTTTGAGAATTTTGACAGATTTTTCAAGAGCCACAGAATAGTTTGTGCTATGACTATGTAAACACCGAACACACCAAGAGTAGACTCTCTTCTTTCATCAGGAAAAAAGATTTTGTGTCTACCTCATTCCGTTCTTCTTCGACGTGCGTCTCACCGGCGCCATTTCTCGCATAGCGAACCATTGCGTTTGTTTTTATTTGCTTACAATCTATGCTAATCTCCCATCAAAAGTGGCACAGCTACCTAGAGGCTAAATTTGTTAGTCCATACTCTGTCTAGAAGCCGATATTTACGGAAAAACTTTCGCCGATCGTCCCGCAAGCCACTCGCATTGAAAAACATAAAAGACCTCTATAGACGTCTTTGGCAGCCAATGAGTTAATGAATTGACCAAAAGACTTAAAAAGATAGCTGAATGTTAATAAATCTAAATTATTACTATTAATATCAATATTATTAACGAAGATATAATGACAGAAACACTAGACACACTTGACCCGTTTCATCTCTGACCATTTGACCGTTTGACCGTTTCCTCTCTGCAGACATTCAACCCAAAGATCTTCAAGAAGAAGCAGAAGAACGGCAGCGCCCCCAAGCCGGGCTGCCCCTACTGCTGCTGCGCCGTGGGCAGCAAGGACCGCTCGCTGTCCGTCTGGGTCAGTACCCCCCCTAACGCCCATATCCGGTCCGGTCCGCTGGCCTCAGCTGGGTCTGACCAGCTCTCCCTCTCTCCCCTCCAGCTCACCTCGCTGAAGCGCCCTCTGGTGGTCATCCACGACCTGTTTGACAAGTCCATCATGGACATTTCCTGGTGAGTCTGTGTCGGGGGCTCTGGTCCAGCAGGAGGCCCGGCTGGTTCTGCTGGTTCTGACGGGCTCTGTGTGCAGGACGCTGACCGGGCTGGGCATGCTGGTCTGCTCCATGGACGGCACCGTGGCCTACCTGGACTTCTCCCAGGACGAGCTGGGAGACCCGCTGAACGAGGAGGAGAAGGTGAGGCCCGCTTCTGGTTCTGGTTCTGGCTCAGAGAGCAGAGCGGGCAGCCGCGCATAGAGGGCCGTCAGGCCGACCTCTGACCTCTGACCTCATCAGAGGGAGACGCAAACTGGGGCCAGAAACTCGGCAGAAACTGTGAGGGGCTGACCTGCTAATTTCAGCTGAATTCTGCAGATAAATTCCACTGATTCTGTTAGTTTTTTTTAAAACTACAAACTTTCCATAACTTTCTTTTTTAATGACAAAATTTCCACAAATTTAGCTTTTTTTTAACCACAAACTTTCCTTCTTTTATGATAAACTTTCCACAAATTCATTATTTTTTTAAACCACAAACTTTCCATAATACATTTTTTTAATGATAAACTTTCCACAAATTTTGTTGTTTAACCACAAACTTATCATAAATTCTTCCTTTAACCATAAACTTTCTACAAATTCAGTTTTAATTATACATTGTCCACAAATGTAGCTTTTTTTGACCACAAACTTTCCTTTTTTTAAGGTAAATTTTCCACAAATTCAGTCTTAACTGTTTTTTTAAACCATAAACTTCCGGATCTCTTTCTCTAAACGAGGCTTTAATGGGATGAATGAACCCAGAATTCTCCGATTAGGATTCCCAAACTGTGTGTGTGTGTATATTGATATTTACACACACTCACACACCCTCTTGTGTCCCTGCGAGCAGAACACCATCCATCAGAACATCTACGGGAAGAGCCTGGCCATCACCACGGAGGTCCAGCTGTCCACCACCATCATCGAGAACCCGGAGATGCTGAAGTACCAGCAGGAGCGGCAGACCTCGGCCCAGGCCGGCGCCGGGGCGGCCAGCGCCGGGCCCGAGGCCGCCGCGCCAAAGGTCAACAGCGTGATGAACGGGGAGTCTCTGGAGGACATCAGGAAGGTGAGCCCAGGGGGCGGAGCCTCCCACCCCCCTCCCCCAGCAGGAGCCCCCGTTAACGCCCGCCTCCTGTTCCAGAACCTCCTGAAGAAGCAGGTGGAGACCAGGACGGCGGACGGGCGCCGCCGCATCACGCCGCTCTGCATCGCTCAGCTGGACACGGGGTGAGAAAGTCCTGATGC